TCCACCCGAAGGACAAAACACCCAGACACAAACAGAGTGATGTGGTGTATGCAATTAAGTGCAGTCAGGAGTGCAATGACTTGTACATTGGTGAAACGAAGCAGCCGCTTCACAAATGCATGGCCCAACAAAGGAGGGCCAACTCCAGTGGACCAGAGTCAGCAGTCCACCTCCACCAGAAGGAGAAAGGACATTCTTTTGAGGACAGTGAAGTCCAGATCCTCTCCAGAGAACATCGCTGGTTTGAGAGAGGTGTTAAGGAAGCTATTTTCGTAAAAATAGAACACCCCTCACTAAATAGGGGTGGTGGACTAAGACACAACTTGTCTTCCATCTACAACCCGGTTTTGAGATCTCTGCCCAAACATGCCCACCAGGACAATAGGTGTCAGTCCACAGGTGAGGATTTAAAGACAGGTAACGACTCTCACCGATACTGGGCTGTAACGACTCAGTCGTTAATGGGCAGTGTTGGCCTTCTAAGGACTGAAACCACACCGAGGGGGATAAATGTCTCCGACTCAACACCAGTCAGTCAGAACTGATGAAGCCTCTTGGATGAGAGGTGAAACGTCTTCGATCTAGAAATCCAAGTCCAGTTGATTTCCAAGGTTATTTCGGTTGCGGTTTACTGATACTACTATGCTTAGGCTGCTACTATTAATAGTAATAATAATGATAAGAAGAAAAAGAAATAGGGATAAAAAAAGTAAAACAGATTATTTTCCAAAGCATTTGCAGTGAACATTCATTAATGTTCCTCATTTGTTAGAACCTTCAGAGCAAACCAGGATGCAAGGTTGGTGAGCTTTCTGTGCTCACCTTCAGGCAAGAATGTTTACAGGGCCTGGTTAAGGTGGTTATGAAGCTAGAGGAGAAAAGCCCCCTGAAATTCCCAGTGGCCAGGCTGGTTGCCTGTTTGGATCCTACAAAGATGCACAGAGATCCTGATTGGTGCATCAGACAGATGAAGAGCATAGTGCAAACATTCCTCCAGGGCAAGCAGCTGGCAGGTGGCATCCCAGCTGGTAAGAAATTATTGTACAGGGACAGTTAAAAGTGCATAGGTTATTCAGATTGATTAAAGTCGTGTGTCAGAAGTCTCATTAGCAAGATGGTTTTCTGCATTCCTAGCTCTATGATGCTGTGATATATGTATTGTCAAATGGGTGACTACTGAATTTAAATGACCTATTAATTACCTTTAATTTCTGTGTCAATGTCGTAGGTGATGTGATCATTCAGCAGTTCACGTCATTTCTGTCTCTTGAGGCCAGAGATGAACGCTTCCGCTCTTTTCAGCCTTTGAAGCAGCGTGTGGATGTATTTCTACACTCAACGCTCAGCACATCCTACACTGACCTGTTAAGGTTCTGCCAGAGTCTTTTACTGCTGTCACATGGACAAGCCAGCGTGGAGAGAGGTTTCTCCATAAACAAGGAGGTGGAAACGTAACCTTCTAGGTGAATCCTTGGAAGCACTGAGGTTAATATGTGACAATGTCAGTAGCTGTGGTGGTGTCCTCAAGGTGCCTTTAACCAAGGACCCGCTGGCCTCTGTGGCCTCAGCAAGGTCCCAGTACAGGCTATATACCTTGAGCAAGAACGCAAAAAGAGGGAGAGTGCTGCTCAGACACTGAAAAGGAAGGCCTCAGAGGAAGAACTAGTGGAGCTCAGACAGCAACACAGAGTCCTGGACGATGTCTGTGCCATTCTTGAAAATGATGCCAACAAGTTGGCCGAGGAGGCAGAGGGGAAGGCTGGGTCAAAAATGGCCCAGCTTATCACTAAATCCAACACACTCAGAAGGAGATACAAAGAGAAAAAAGAGGAACTGGATAAAATGGACAAAACTATTGAAGAAAAGGCCATGCAATTAAGACACTTGCCATAAAATTCTTTTGCTCATGAGTTCATATTAGGCCTATAGCACAGGTTTATGTTAAAATCAAATGGCAGTTCACCAGTTCATATAGCAGATGCCAGTTTGTAGCAGCGAATGCCAGCCAGTGTGCTGGAACTGTTCTCTTCATTGCACATTTTATGTAATTTGTTTTATTTTTATTCATGAAGTGAAATAAATGTGTGCAATATGTGGTCAACATCAGTGAGTCTCTAAATCTATTCTGTTGTGTATAGTGTCAATATATGTCAACAGCCCTGTGACCCCGCCTCTCGCCCAATATCAGCTGGGATTGGCTCCATCCCCCTGACGAGCATGTCCACTCCAGGGTACGCGTTATAGATAATATATGGATGGATGTTGCTTCTTCGACCTGAAATGACTTAAAACTGCTGCAAACTGCTCTACTCCACGTCTAGTGGACAGGCCGTTTGTTGCGTCCTATGACTGGGGGGGAGGAAGGAGGGGCCGATGAACACACAAACGCGCGCGCGCTTTCGCTCGCGCACAGACAGCAACCCCTACAAGGAAGATGGAGGACGGTGTGGCAGCGTTGGAGCGGCGGTCCAGCCTGCAGCATCATTACTGTTGAAGGCCGGTGAGTTCGCCTCTCGTTCAGTTATGATAACGTTCAGTGTCTGCCGAGACCTCCACCACAACAGGGTGAAACAGAGCAGCAGAAAGTTGTGAGGCGGCTGTTGTTATTGAAGCATGGGACAGTGGATTGTCGCCGCTCAGTTTGCTGCCTGCTGAGGAGTGGCTACGGGGAAAGATAACTGCGCGGTTCAGAGAAAATGTCATACCGGGTTCAGACGGAAAGAAACGCCTCACTAGTAATACATACGAGGCTGTGTGCTGGACTGAAGCCCAACCGTCCACCGGGTAGACATGAATGAAACGGCCCAGTTGGCAGGTGCAGTCCCTGCGGAGCTGACCACAATTCAGTCAATACTGTGGCCTGGTGGAGCATTCTTAATGCTTCCTGGGTTTGGTTTTTGTCGAACCAGGATTCCACCTTGGCTTCCGTCACCTATGCAATGCAGAAGCCAAAAATAAGCCGTTTTTGCAGCGGCAGCCTGGCTGTGTGGCCTAGTTGTTATTCACAGAGATGCTGCAGTTTATCCTCTGGTTGTGCAGTCTGTCCGGGTAGTTTCTTCATCCAACGATAAAACCCAGATTCATCATGTCCTGATAGAAACCTTACTGTTAAAACAGCGCGGGGATGTATTCCTTACGTCAAGTCCCACTAAAATCACATTTAATGACCCCTTTTTGCAGTCGAAAATATGTTGGCCAGTTTTTAATCGAATTCGTATTTTTTTAATTATTACTATAAAAGAAATAAAAGGGTGTGGAGAAACATTAGAAGTGCTCTTTTCCCTCTCAGCAAGCTGGAGGTGTGTGTGTGTGTGTGTGTATGAGACAGCAGCTGGAGGGACATGTCTGTCTATGATTGACAGCAACTGAAGGGGCGTGTCTGTTTTGATCAGATCTGGAGAGGTGTGTCTCACTGTTTCACAGCAGTTGGAGGTGCATGTCTGCACCTATGATTAATGTCTGTGTGTGAGAGCAGAGGCCTGCATCATGAAGCGAGTTCAGTTTAGATTGGCTTTCATTGGGTTATCTGGCTTTGCTGAGTCTAACATTGGCCATCGTGGATAACCAGTACCACAAAGCTGGTTATCAAATGGCTCTATTAAGACTGGATTTCCTAACTGGCTATGAGCCCGTTCATGTAAAGAAGCAGAGTTGTTAATTAGAAACAACATCACCAGAACAATGAATGAAGTAGGCTACTTAATAAAATATGAGATAGGACCAGTGTCATTTCTAGCAGCTGACAAGATCAGTAGCCAAGTCAAGTTGACCTGGCGCTCATAGATTTTCTGGGATGGAGGTACATGTGTGTTGGTTGGAGAGGGTATGTGTCAAGTCCCAAGGTTTTGTGGTGAGAATCAAGCAAGTCACAAGTCAAGTCATACAAAATTCTGATGGTCTGATATATGGGAATATCAGGAATTTAAGTGAAAACATTCACAAACCTCTGATTATTAATTGTGCATTCGTAGCCTATAAACCAACCCTTAGCTAATAAATAAAAAAGGCATGTCTTTCCTGACTGTCAGAAACTTTTCCCAGTGCGTAGTCAATTTGAAGCCAAGTCTTAACACCTTAAACTTAATGTTATATTTCTAGCCATTGTTTGGCCGGCCAATGAGTTGGCTAACTTTAGCTGACACATTCACATATTTACCTTTCTTTGTTAGTTTTGTAGAGACGGATGAAGTTAGATTTTGTGGTGGTCATGTTGTTGATTTTTACACTGCAGACTTTGCATGCTGCTGTTCTTTTTCCTTCTACAATCATCAATGGCATAATCCTTGAATCTATATTTTATCATCTTTGGCCCTGTCCCCTCCATGATTGCTGCATCCTGTCAATGCATACATCTCTATTTTTGGCTGAGGTTGTGCTGCAGCTAAAAGTACCTCTTTGGCCATCCGGTAGTACTTTGGGTTAACAAAAAAGCTAATGGAAGTTCTTATGTAATGTGAAAGATGACAGACAAGGGAGCTTTATAATCATTTGTGTGTAGAACCAGAATGTGCTACATTTCCATCACTGATGTGAGATCAGCTGATAGTTTTACCAGTGAAGATGTCTACCTCTGTTGGAGGTATATAACATTAAGTTTAAGGTTGGAATGACAAACACTCAGTTCACTCTGATTATTCAATGGTGTTACAAAGTGAGGCCTCTTAACCTCATAAATGATTCACTGGCTGCAGCGAGGTCACAAACCTGACAGCAGCCACTTTCATTTTGTCCTGTCATCAATATACTGTACGTCATGGAGTAAACATTAGTTAGCGACAGCTGGTATGACCCCGCTGGTTGTCATTTTAACCACAAACGGTGACAATTAGTAGAAGAAGATGCTACCTGAGCAATTTCCACACTGAGCTTTGCTAATAAGATTGTAGGTGTCACTGGCCCTGCTGTACAGTGGTGGCGGTGGCAGGGTGGAGGTGAGGTGCAGTTTTGAATATATAAATGCTAAAATTGAAAATTGATTACCTACTCAAAAAGTGAATATCAGACTAGTTGGATTTTTTTGGTCCAGCCCTACTCTGCTGGTCTGCCACGTTCTGGAAGGTTGCCAAGTTTGTACACATTGCAATCACTCAATAGTGTTTCAATAACAAGATGTAACTTCTCAATATCTAGAAAAATGCAAGTATGTAATAAATAAAAATGAATTTCAAGTTAGGTGTCTCAAGTCTAATTAAAGTATCAAGTCATGAATACCAAGTCAAAGTCAAGTTGAGTCTTTTAACCAGTGTTAGTCAAGCAATGTATACAATAATGAATTGAAAAATTATTTTACACACAGGTTATTATTAGTGTTGGGCAATGACCAAAATCTCTAATCACGATAAACTGCATGATTTTCTGTGATTAATCGTGATTAACGGCATTGTTATGGGCGGCATTCAATAATGATTTCAAAAGTTGTGTATTGCGCACTTTCGTTTTAAAAGTACTGCTATATGAACAAAAGTGCAATAACATTTGGTTTGCAAATACTTTAAACAAATAAGGTGCTTTTTAACAGCAGTATTCCCTTTACACAGTAGCAGTTAAAATATTTTTAGCTGGCATGGCAATCTTGGTGTTGTGTTTGGTGAGAACAGTGGCTGTTCGTTTCTGCAGACAGTTTTTTATCATGTCCAGAGTTGAATTCCATCTGGTTGGAATGTCTTGTATAAGCGACTCCTTTTTTTGTCCGTGTTCAGTTTGTTGTTGTTGTAATTCTGCAGCACTTGCTGGACTGTGTTTAAAGTGGCCCACAACCTTTCTGCATTTGGCCAGGACATTGTCAAACGCACTGTTCTGCAGAGAAACTGTGACAGAACGATGGAGATTGTGTGCAATGCAGAGGACATGTTCAAAAGGTAGATGTCTCGTAGCAACGATCATGTTTCTTGCTCCGTCTGTGCTAAGTGTGCTGACTTTATTTGAAACGTTCCACTGCTGTGCAACATGAATGAAATGCTCTGTGCACGTTTTTGCAGCAAAATGTCTATCTTCTGTTTTCATTACAGTTAGAGCATGTGAATGCAGCTCCCACTGTTCTTCAATATAATGCACTGTAACGCCGAGGTAGTTATGGTTTACCCAGTGATGTCCAGTAGTCTCCAGTGAGAGCAACAGTTGGTGCACGTTGTAACGCCGTCACTTTTGTAGTCCTCTCCTTTTCATACAACTCGTGCATTCTTCTTGTGATGGTGCATCTGGTTCATGTGAGCACTGCAGCAGTCTTGGGCTAATTGGTTGAGACACATGATGACGCCCATCCCAAGCCAGTACTGATCAACATCCCACCCCTCCTGTGACCTATGGTTTGTCTGTATGTGTATTCAGAGCCAGTGAGCAACAGACTTTCAAAATAATAATAATGCGCGATAAAATAATTGTCGGTGTTAATTAAGTAATGTGTTAACGCAAAAATAACGTGTTATCTTGCCCAGCCTTAGTTATTATGTTATGAAAAACATATCTTTCCTATTGATATTGATGTTTATCAGAATCATCTTTGATGGCTAAGTATGTTTGAACATACAGGAATTTGACTCTAGTACAGAGGCTCTCAGTGTGGTAAGGCATCAGGAATAGAAAATAATAGAATAAAACTAGAGCAACAAAATGAGAATAAATAGTGTGTACATTCAGGCAGGAAATAAGTGCAATAAAAAATTTGAGAGGAAAGGAGGGGTACTTTTTATAAATACATGTACATTATGGCAGAAGGGCTTTCAAGCTGATGTACACAATGGTTATATTTATCATTACTTTTTTGCACTGGGGTGGTTGCTATGACCAGTCATACAGTCATGGATTAACTGCTCATGAGTGTGATGGCCTGGGGGAAGAAACTGCAGTGCCATGTTGACTGCATCATCCATTCATCTGTTTGCCCAGTAGGCAAACTGCAGGGGGTCCAGCAAGGGGTCTACGATGTCCTTTAGATGGGCCGACACCAGTCTTTCAAAGGGCTTCATAACTACAGATGTCAGGGCGACAGGTCTGTAGTCGTTCATTCCACTGATGCGGGGTTTCTTGGGGACTGGGACGATGGTGGATCGTTTGAAGCAGGAGGGGACTTCATACAGCTCCAGTGATCTGTTGAAGATAAGGGTGAAGATGGGGTCCAGCTGATCAGTGCAAGCTTTCAGGCAGAAGGGGGTGACACCATCCTGGCCTGGTGCCTTTATGATCTTTTGTTTTTTAAAAAGGCCAGACACATCCTTTTCACAGATCTTCAGGGGCAAGGAGCTGGGGGAAAGGAGGTGATTGGGGGGGAGCAGATGCTGGGTCTGAGGTGAAGTGTGTGAGGGGTATGGAGTTCTGCTTCTCATACTTACAGTAAGACACATTCAGGTCATCTGCCAGTTGATGGCCTTCCACAACAGGGGAGGATGGTTTCCTGTAGCTAATGATGTTTTTCAGGCTTTTCTGAGTAGCTCCTCTTTGCTACTCTGATCTCCCTTGTCACCGTGTTCCTGACCTGCCTGTACACGATCCTGTCCCTGCTTT